TTTAGTTACTGTATAATCAATGCAGGATTTCCACTTGTAATGGAATATTTTGAAAGTATATTATTAGTACTTTTACTTAAATAAAATATCTGAATACTTTCTCCAGCACGGCTTCAAACTGATATACATGTCTTCAATCAGTTTGCATCTTGTTTTACTATGTAAAGTTATCCTGCTTTATATTGAGGTTTTTGCTAATATCATGCTCAATGTACATTTCGTGCATCATGTGTTTAATTTCATGCAGTGACATAAACAGGACAGTCTTGTGCAGTCCAGAAAAAGTGAGCTAATTATAAAGCATACAGTATGGTCTCATGCAGCAGGGTGGACAGGCTGCCTTGCAACTTATGCTTAGTAAACATTTTCAGAGCCCTCTCGTCCCCTGTGACTGCGGCCAGGCATTAGCTTTAATCTGCCAATACCTGCAAATCCCCGGCATCCCACACACATTCTCACCTTGGCAGAACTGAAAAGGTTATATTTAAGAGAGGAGCAGCTTTGTGGCACATTTCCGATCAAGGCTTTACATTTTGAATGCCGCCCACGTTCGTGTGAATCTGGAGAATGACCGCGGCCGACCCACCTCCCCCCCCCACACAGATCTGCTCCGAGAGCTAAAGTGCCGGCCCGAGTGGCCCGTAGGTGTGTGTTATGCAAGACTAATGGATGAAGAGATCATTGTATTCAAGACGCCCACAGTGATGGTTCATGTAACAGATCCGCTTGTGAAATCACAGCTTTTTAACATTTGGGTATTGGCTCTGGAGGTGCTGATCACTGCTGAGAGATCGAGAGGACAACATGCATCTTAAGTCCTCTAAAAGGTGTCATGGGTCATTAATATGCATGATGGGAGATGACCGTGTTGCAGTCAATCATGTGTTTCTTGGCAAACCCACTTTTTTTCCTTTTAAAGGGGATGTAAATATAAGTAAATCATGATGTTTAGAGTGATTATAGACACAATAAGAATATATTTTCCCTTTAATAATGATGAAAAAAACAATCAAAGTAACTCCGGGTTGCCTCAACCATACAAATGGTTTACTTTAAGCCCCTTTGTTCAGCATATAGAATCAATATCACACTTAAATATAATTGAATGCAACTAAAATGGTATTTTGAAGTATTTGAATCATTGTTTATGTACAGTAGTTGCAATTATAGCTTGTCACATTATTTGACTATATTTCCTGTATAATGGATAATCAGTTTTTTAACCAGCCTACACTTGCCCACAGGCGGACACGTTTATATCTACTTACAACTACGTTAAACTGTGTTATAAGCTAATTATTAGATCTTTATATACTGCTTATAAATGCTCAAAAGGGTGACATAATTGTTTTCCAATCAAAGACTTTTAATTGAAAGGTTCAGGTAAAAACTTCTGGTGTTATAATTTCTTAACGCTTTCTAAAGTGTTGGTAAAATGTATTTTTATAGTAGTAAATGTGTTCCGATGTAACATGTTTAAGCTTAATTGGAACATATTTCCTACAGAAGTTTGCTAACAGGACGTGTTGCTGCTCCTCGGGTTATTTCCACACTTTCCTGGGGAGCTGAGCATTTGCTTTGCTGTTTACTGTATACGGTATCTAAGCTCTCTTTTAACAAGTTTGCAGTGAATGTAATGATATTTTTACTTATTTATTTTCATGAATACATCTGCTCAATAGGAGAGATGTGTGTGGATGTGTGCAGCAGGTCAGCAGAGGAGCTTGTAATGCGGACTGCTGAGAGATGTGAGACTGCTTTGTTTTCTACAATTGCAGGTATTTGGTTTATAAGTGGCTGTTTTCCTGCTGCAACTCTTTGTTACTTAAGTGTGTGTTTTATGCTTCTTCCTTTATGTCCTCTTGTTCAGAAGTTTTCCCTTTGGCAGGCAAAGAGAGTATTTATGCTCCTGTGAAAGCCGAAACCATTTATGGTGCCTTTCAAAAAATGTAAGACATTAGCCCAATAGGCGCATTCACACTGCGGTACTTTTCCCACAAAGGTTCATGTGAACTCTTTTATCGCGTTCACACCAAAAAGAGCCGGTACTAAAATTAGTTCATGTGAACCTTTTTACCCCCTCGAAAGTCCCTGCTAGAGAGCAGGGACTTTCGAGCGGCTCTTTTGTGAGAAAAGAGCTATATTTCTGATTGGCTGAGCGGATTGCAAACCACGCCCCGCAAAACTCCCAAAAAGTTTTGTGAAGTCGCCATTTTATTATCCTCGCATTAGCATTATTAGCATTAGCATTAGCCCAGCGCAGAAACGCAGAGACTAACTTATGGCAACAGAAAATAAAACATGGGAGCGGTGGAGATGAGGAGGTGTCGGCGTTCTGGCGATTTACTCGGAAGGCTTCAGTAGAAGCTGCTGGGAGTCCCAGCAGCTTCTACTGAAGCCAGTCCCCAACTCCAGGGACTTCCGGCCGGGGACTTTGGGCGGCAGTAAACGCCTTGAAGTGGTTTGCGGCCTGCCAGTAAACCCAAAGCAGAAGAAGAAGAAGAAGTGACGTCAGCGGCTTCATTTGCCTAATCCACCCCCACGGACTTTTTCCAGTGTGAACGCGATCTGTACTTAGTTCATGAGAACTAAAGAGTTCTCATGAACTAAGTTCACATGAACCTTTGTGGGAAAAGTACCGCAGTGTGAATGCGCCTAATGTCTTTTCTTACCTGAGATAAGCAACTAGACTTATGGGAGTGGGATATCAGTTGTGCAAAATGAAATCCGGTGAAAATATTGGCTGCATGAAATATATATATGTTACTTTTCCAAATCATCATCAATATAGTTGGCAGCAGCGTTCACTTTCTCTTCTTCTGATAAAAAAGGAGTTATCAGATTAAAGCATTACATTTACATTACATTACATTGCATTTAGCTGACGCTTTTGTCCAAAGCGACTTACAATAAGTACATTCGACCAGGAAGACACAACCTTGAAGAAAACAGAATCATATAAGTATATCAGGTTTCATAGAGCCAAACATTTCAAGTGCTACTCAACTGGCTTTAGGTAATCCAGTCCTTTATTGGTATAAAAGTGCTTCGTTAATCGTTCTAACGCTCGAAGTGGAGTCGAAAGAGATGAGTTTTCAGTTTGCGCCGGAAGATGTGCAAGCTATTTGCCGTCCTGATGTCAATGGGGAGCTCATTCCACCATCTTGGAGCCAGGATAGCAAACCCACGTGTTTTCGCCGATGGGAACTTGGGTCCCCCTCGCAGCGAGGGCGCAGCGAGTCGTTTGGCTGATGCAGAGCGTAGTGCACGCGCTGGGGTGTACGGTTTAACCATGTCCTGGATGTAGGAAGGGCCAGATCCATTCGCAGCATGGTAAGCAAGTACCAGTGTCTTGAAGTGGATTCTAGCAGTTACCGGAAGCCAGTGAAGGGAGCGGAGGAGCGGAGTGGTGTGGGAGTATTTAGGAAGGTTGAAGACCAGACGAGCCGCTGCATTCTGGATGAGCTGCAGAGGTCGGATGGCACATGCAGGTAGACCAGCCAGGAGGGAGTTGCAGTAGTCTAGGCGTGAGATGACGAGAGCCTGGACCAGAACCTGAGTCGCTTTCTGAGTCAGCTGGGGACGTATCTTCCTGATGTTGTAAAGCGTGTATCTGCAGCAGCGGGTTGTAGCAGCGATGTTTGCAGTGAAGGACAGGTTGTTATCTAGGGTCACACCCAGATTCCTTGCTGTCTGAGTCGGGGAAACAACTGAGGTGCCGATGTTGATTGTCAGGTCAAGAGTTGGACAATCTTTTCCCGGGAGGAAGAGCAGCTCAGTCTTGTCAAGGTTGAGCTTGAGGTGGTGAGCAGACATCCACTGAGAGATGTCAGCTAGACAAGCAGAGATGCGTGCGACGACCTGGGTCTCTGAGCGGGGAAAGGACAGAATTAATTGGGTGTCGTCAGCGTAGCAGTGGTAAGAAAAACCATGCGGGCTAATGACTGATCCGAGCGAGTTTGTGTACAAGGAGAAGAGGAGGGGACCCGAGGAGCCCCGGCTACACGAGGACGATGACGAAAACGAAAACGGACCGCAATCGTTATCAAAAAGTCTTCCGTCCACACGCAACAAGCAACAGAAGTGCGTCCGTTCACACGAGACCGCTCGAAAGCGCTAGAGACGCTATAGTACATATGCCAGGCCAGTAAGTGGCGCTGTACTCCTGCACAAAAGCAGCAAAGAAGACTTCCCTCGCATGGTTGCCATGGTTGCCCTTCTGTTTATTCCCCGCTGTGGACGCTCTGGCTCTTTTTCTCCCTCCCGGAGGCAAGCGTTTGCTCCTGCTGTAATTCTCTCCGGTAGTTCACCAGCAGATGAAAAACACCCACCTCTCCGCCTCTTCCAAGGGACGAGGGGACCTTGCGGCAGTTTTTTTTTTCGCCGGTCAACATGTCCGTTAAAGTTTAAATCTTCCCGACACAATTAGAAAAGTGCCGGTCAGAGGTCTTCTTTGTTATTTATTGAACTTTAAAATAACGGGGCGAGGCGGGGCTATGGCTTTATCGTTATCAGGAAATTATCGTATAGGTGTAGACACGGAGCTGTTTGCCCCCCCAGAGCGTTTCGTTTGCAGATCTACCCACCTTGGGACCCGTTATCGTTATCGTTTTCTGCGTTTCCATGTCGGCCTCGTGTGGCCAAACCGTCTATCTGATAGTGAACTGTAGCAGATACGACCGTTATCGTCCTCGTTTAGCCGGGGCTTTACACTTCTGAGACAAGCAGGAGTGCCATTTGTTACTTGAACTCTGCAAACAATGTTTTAAAAGCCAATTTGAAAAGGAAACACTCCTGTTTACTCCTGGATAAGAGCATGGCGATAAGAGGGGAAATACAATTTATTTGAGATAGTAAACATTTAAATTAGCTCTCTCTTGGCAGTCTAAGATTAGCTCTTTATCTCCCCGTGAGACTGCTCTAAATTGGTTGTTGTTTCTCTCATGATTGTGCCAAGATCAACACAAACAACCCTGAGCCAAAATGGCCGATGCTCCTACCTGCTTCTGGGCAGGAACATGGACTCCTTGATGAAGACGGAGCCGGACAGCAGGATGTACCAGCAGCTCCCGACGTCGTCAGGGCTGGAGACACAAAGAGAAACACAATGAGGACAAATAATCACAGATTGCAGCAGAGATGGAGAAAATGCACTTAATCTGAGTTGAGTGAGGAATGTCTAAAGTTGGCAAGATGCAAGCCTAAATGTTCATCTCATCTATTTTGAGTATTAAATATGAACTCCTTTACGATTGTATTACATTTCGAAATACATCTTAGTAATGTAACGCAATCTTCATACTGTTACATCGTCTTAATTTCTGGTTTCCTTACACTTTTATGGTAATTATATGGTATATTGGAAACACAAAACAGTGTATGTGCAGGCCATGATACACACCGAACAACACTTAGTTTATTTATTGTTCAGTCAATTCCTAGAAAGTGTATCAAGAATTATGATAAGATTATTCATTTAAATATTGTTTTAAGCAAAAATGACAAGAGGACACTGGTTAAGGCTTATCAAATGTGAATGTCTACTAGAATGATTGGTTCTTTATGATTGTAAACCGAATATTTTTACACACATCCACTTGTATTTTGTGAAATGTTGATGAGCATCTTTGCTTATTATCTGACAAAACAGTATCTTTAAATGCAGAAAACCAGAGGATGTAACAATAATGCAATCCTCATTTATTGCAACCCAAATCTCTTTAATGGTGAGATGTTTTCTTTGTTATTGTCTTGCCCTACATGCGGACGCGCAAGTGCTGCGATGAAATGCATCAGTAATGAGAGATTTGATCACAGTGCCAAATACAGTGCACTTCTTAAAAACAAAGTATAAAGCAGAACACATGAGAAAGAAAATCACAGATAGAGAGGGAGAACTACAAATGAACCGAGGAATCATCAGTCATCCTCCCACACCCCGCTCAAACACAGACGAGGAAATTGGGCCTGGCAGACTCCGTAAACTCAGACTGACCTCCGCATTATGCTGCTGGCTGTCAGCTTCTTACAACATGACGAGTAAACAATCACATGTACACACTTCCACCACACTTCAGCAGCACTTTTGCCGATTTAATTTGGCGACCTTTTTTCAGGTTTTAGGGCATTATAGTGAGCCAGAAGCCTTATTAGGAAACATCAAAGACTCTTCTGAGGGGATAAACAACCCTGTCAGCGTTAATAAAGCACGCTGGTATTTAATAAATAATTTGTTTGGTTTATTTAAATGTATCTGTTTCATTACTTGCTCGTGTAGCTTATCTCAGGACTTGCATGTGTACCAGAGGGATTCAAAAGAGTTAATCTGACATGGCTGAGATTCAGAGTCTCCTCTGCTCTGAACATGCAGGATTACAGAGAGGTCATGTATGTTAACCTGCGGGAAAGCAAACAAATTGCTCTGTACACGGATAAAGAGGTTAATGCTTTCTTTCAAACACAACATATGCACTCTGTGAGCAGATCAGGTCAGATGTCACAGAGTGAACTGCTGGTGTTACACCAACACGCTCTGCAGTTTACCCACATGTTCTGCATGTCGGTAAATAACGTGTGATTTCTTCTTATTTCTTTAGACAAATAAATATATTGTTAACCAAAATAGGCTATATACAAAAATATTTCCAGCCACCGAACCCTCCAAAACATTTTAATAAATACAAAGTCAAAATAATACACATAAATGCTAAAAATCTAAATTATGTAATGCACATGAAAATCTCTTGAAAGGATTTAACGCTCAGTTACAAAGCTGGTTTACAAGAAGCTTTATATTATCTGGTCACATCTGTCGTACTTTCTCTACTAGGTTGCTCCAAGTTAATAGTAAAAGGATCATTTCTCCAAGGCAGGACATTGAGAGAAATTCTTTAAACACCGACTGATAGAACGTTTTCTGGGTTTGGTTCAATCGATGAATACTGTATGTTTCAATTCAAACCATGGATGTATAATAAGAACTGGATACAGCGTGGGAGGCGGGGCCTGGTTCATTCCTATGAGAGTTGCTCATTGGCGCATGAAGACAAAATGGCCCAACTTTTGAGAGAGCGAAACGTCACGAAAGTAATCATATAATCCGTTCTTTTTGTGCATCCATGGGTAAAGGTAAAACGCACGTAGTACTGAACACGTCACATGAACGTGCCGTGCGGCGCGGTCCCGTGGGTTAGATACGCGTTTATAATGCCGAAGAAAATAACTTTCAGAATAACGTTATTAGCACATTTTACAACTCGAGGACCGAATTTTTTTAATAAGGGCTATACAAACGTTTATACTGGGTAGTTAATTTAGTTTAAAAACAATTATCGTCTCTTTCCCAATATTAGTCAATGGGAAAAAGTATTTCCGGGCCCAGCGACTGATACGGAAGTGTGGTACCGCCGTGTGGCCACAACGAATATTTTCCTCAGAGTCCGGCGCACTTCCTGGGGGCTTGATTCAAACAGAGAAAAAATAATAAATAATATTTGTTTTTCTTGTTATTTGCGAGAGTTGAACAAATAAGGAGTATGTGTTTTAACTTCAAATCAGATTCATTGTGATTTCAACCTATCTTGGTTGTCGAACATCAACCATGCCCCCCTCTTACAGTAAAGAGGAAGAAGAAACCGAGAGAGGGAAGTATTCTCATGACCCATAATACCATCATTCTCCAGTGCTGGGAATTTAACATGAGTTTCGGCTGTGGTGGACAAAAATAGCCCCGTCAGTAATGAAAACTGCTCTCATTTTGCTCTGATGATTCGTAACAACTTTGGCTGAATTATGACTGTTTAAAGAGCTAGTATCTTCAGGCAGAACAAGCAAGTCACTTCAAACTGTTTGAGTCTTTATACGTAATTAAGCTAGGCTAACTGTCTGCTAAATATATTTACAGTATATATTAGGGCTGCACGATATACCGTGTCGTGACGATAATCGCGATATGCGCATGAGCGATGTATTCACATCATTTTTTTCTCGAGTGCGCTAGAATTTGAAAATACACAACCGGAAAAAATCTGCCCCTTCCTTCAGACTTCCTCACAGAGCCCCTCCTCCAACACACACGAACGCACACATGACCAATGAGGGCACGAGATAAGTTTGTGCCCAGATGGAAGGCTGACAGGCAGGTAGGCCATCCAGTTACTTTAGCCGGGCCGGCTCAGATGATTGGTCGTGCTTTTTACAGCGCTACGGCTTCCACAGATGAAATATTTTTATGTATTTATTGTCAAAGCATTTAATATATTCATTGCTATCGGGAAAGTGTTTCTGAAGTGAATTACCTACCCCAACTTTAAGTAGGCAAATTGACTCAAACACGTCATGTTACAATTATTTTGCTGCTTGCTACAAAAGGAAAACTTGCGAGGCTCTCATGTCAGGCGTACTTGAGTGAGTGACATGCAGGCTCTGCATGCACAGCAAACCACAATCAAATCTCCAAAGCAAACGGACCCGGTGATTACAGGTAAAAACACTGAATAAAGTAGTTTCATGTGTTTCTCAGCGCTGCTAACCGAGCTAGCTCAGCGTGTTGCTCTGATAACTTAAGATCCAGACGTCCGTGACTAAAATCCTTCATCCGGTTATATATAGTTAGAAAAAATACCAATTGTATAGCATTAAAGTTCAAGAAAGGATGGTTTGCGGACAAAAGAAACTGTCTTTTCTTCAATTCCTGTATTTTTTCATATCTTAATATATATCGCAAGGGGTAGTAGGCCTATATATAGTAAAGAGCTATCCAACTTCTCATAACTCAAGGTGAGAAAGTGTATTTCCGTAATATTGAACTACTTCTAAAATGGTAGAGGAAGAATCTTAAATGATTTTAAAAAGACAGAAAAAATAGAAACATTTGCAGTGTTGTCAGCGTGCTGCATCAGTTCAGCTTCACTTGATGGTGTGAAAACCCGCAATTATATTAACTATGAAAGCCAAGCATCGATTCAACTGGATGTTTCTCTTTGTGAAGCTTTCCTCTAAAAAAGGTGTATTTCCCTCGTCAAAGAGGAAGAAAAAAAGCATCCGCTCATCAAGCTGAAATCAGACGCTGTACTTAAAGGTGCTTTGGTGTTAATAAGGCAGCAGCTTGTGTGATTATCACAGAACATTTACACTTGGTCTGAGTGAGACTTTTTAATTGACACCAAGCGGAAAAAAATCAATGAGGAGTCAGACGTCAGCGAACTGGTTTTTGCTTACAGAAAGGTAAAGGTTGGGCAAGCTTATTTTACACAGACACATATATTCACACCCGGCACCGCCGTGCTGACTGAGTTTCTTTTCCTAATCACTGAGAACAAAGTCTCCCGCCTCCTTGCTCCTCTTCCTCCTACTCTCCGCACTTTTCTTGAAGAACTAATGAGGCTGCAGACAGCACACCCTACTGACACAAAATCCTCCAACAGCGTCCATCCTCCTTCTCCCTAGGCTGATCTCCATCCGCCTCCCTGCAGACCCGCTCCATCATCTCATGGTTCTGCTAGCGTTCAGAGATGACACGAATGAAATGCACAATTATCAATTACTGGCACGCAGATGCACGGAGCGAGGGGAGCACCGCAAATTAGAGGAGGAGAAGGAGGAAGAGAAGATACAACACCAGAAAAGAAGGATGGGAGAATGTTATGCGCCGCGGCAGCTCGACTGAACTGGGTCACGAGTACAGAAAGCGATCGTCAAACGCTAAACATCATCCACCAAAACCCCCCGGGAAGCCTTCAGCAGCGGGGTGTAGGGCTATAGAGAGTATGGAGGCAGTGGGAGGGGGTACAACGATGCAGGAAGGGTTATAGAATCTAAACATTTAAAGAAGTGAGAATAACATTTTCCCTAGAACCAAGAATTATGTTCAGAATGAAATGCCTTTTTCTCCATATGTGAAAATGTGTCACAATTTGCCATGTAGAGATTTGTCAGACAGACCTTTGACCTGTAACACTACATAAACTCTTTCTCATGATGTGTGCACAGGGTTTGGAGAGACATTAACATTGGAAAACCAAAAGAGGAGTCTATGACAACCGCATTCAGTGGCCCAATTTAAACAAGAAGCTAAAAATAAAAC